CAATATGGTCTGTAATTAAATATGAAAAATATACCCTAGTCCTATTAATAAATATAAATTGCAACAAGTAATTGTACAACAACGTCTCAAAATAAAAATAGAAATTTAATAAGTTTGTCTGTAGTTAATGCATTAGTAAATTGTTGTATTAAACATATCCAATCAATTAATAAAGAATCTGTTATTCAAAGAAGTTTTACATATGCGCTGTTTGAATAAATATGATTCAACGCTCATGTATCGATCTTAACATAAAGTATAGGGTATTAGGTAAAATCTCATATATATAGGCTCCTTCTGATTGTAATCTCAGTTGTGAAAATATTTGTTGACTATATAGACAATTGCTTTATCAGTAAAAATCTTTTGTAACGCATTAATAAAGATAATGGCTGACAACATGAACATCTCTGGTTCGTATAATTAAAAATTATTCAAAATAGTCTCATATTCAATTAATAGTTCAACTTATAAATGTGTCATTATTTTATGTAGCTCTACCAAACACCACAGCTGAAATTCAATGTTGTAGTCGCTGTGGTGCGAGGAAATTGATTGAAGAGTTCACATGACTTTGGGGAAAGAAAATGAGAGTTTCTAAAACATGCAATGCATGTTCAGAATCCTGAGCAAATTCATACAACTCAACAAACTCTCTCTCAGTACGCTCTGATTCAGTACAAGATGAACTAATTGTAATACAACAGGATGATCGATTTGACATGAATGATCATGATGAGTTCTTGTATCATGTTGGCAAGCTCAAAGAGATTATTAAAACAAAATTTGGTGCTGATCAAGAGAATTTACCAGAACACATCAGGTTTACAGTAGACATAGAATTGGAAGAAGAGTTAATTGATCAGCAATCAGTCATGGATCACAAATCTGATCGACAAAAACAATATTACAACAATTTAATTGGTATGATTGTGACTCTGTTAGAGGATGGGTCGCGATATTACTGGGAGATCAGGAAAGTTTACTATGGAGAAAAGAATAATGTTCATAATGGAGTGGTTACGGCATTTCTTAGATGCACGCAAAGAAATGATTGAATTCAGCAGACTAGCGATGTTACAGTTAAAAGAAGGAGTGAGGCACGTAAAGTGATTTCAAGGTTCTCATGTAATGGTGGCAGTAAATTACATATAAATATTAAACAAATGGTTAATTAAACTAAGCGTCCAGCATTCCCAAGCCCATGCCTTTGCTGACCATAGACAGAACAGATTACCAACTAAAGCAAAATTGTGGATTCAAGATAACATAATAACATCGCAAAGTTGACTGAATTTTATCAAAGACTATCAGAACAATGATTGATTAATCCATCAATACACACATATATGCAAGTGTACTATTGGATGTCTAATTTCTCAAAAAAGATGTATGTAACTGATAATAGAAATCAATTACAGTCATCCAAAAATTATTTGCAACAAACACAAATGGCAGAAAAAGGTTACAAAGTAATTTTTTTTATAGAGAATGACTATGTTCACGCGTTGGGCTATTATACACCATTATTGGATTGCTTTGGTAGAGATAAAATTGCAGAAATTGTTATAGACTCAACTTTCAAAACCAATCAGGAAAAATTTGAGTTATTTGCAGTAAATGCCAATGTTGGAGGATTTGGCGTACCAATAGCTTATCTTTATCTGGATACTTACACACCCACATGTCATAATTTACATTCAGATAATCTCATTACTACTAGAGTTGGGGCTCTAACACAATTTTTTTTGATGTTGCGCAGAGAGGGTGTTCTTCCGACATTTGTTTTGATTGACAAAGATAGTGGAGAAATTGCTGCAGTAGAAGAGGCCTGGTCATGGACAGCGAAAATACAACTGTGTCTATGGCATACAGAGCATGCTATTATACATAAATTTAAGGGAAAACGCTCAACAAGAAGTCAATATACTTATATGAAAGCACATGACACCTACCAACAATTTAATTTTATTGATCCACAATGGATCCCAAGTGAGAGAGATAGTCGCGAATTAATATGCCTGGATGAAAAACAGACAGAGGTTTTAAGTATTATTAAACGACATGCCTTATACCACCCTCTTATACCAGTAGATAAGGACATCTTTCAGACAACTGAAACAATATATGATCAGAGTGTATGGGAAATTTACTCTTATTGTCGTGAGCATAATCTTGTAGACCTTTGGGGTTATTTGTGGTGTAGTTGGTACAATTACTTGTTGCAATTTATATTTATTAATAGGACTAGGGTATATTTTTCATATTTAATTACAGACCATATTG